TCACAGCCCGAAGAACAGAGATTTAGGGTACTGAGTGACACCAGCCTCAGCTGCAGGGGGAACTTGGTAGAATGCAAATCTGTAGGCTTAGTCTACTGATCAGAAAGCTGAGGTCATCTTACCACGCTCTCCAGGTGATTTTATTTTTGATCTAAGGTAAAAATTGGAGAACCATCTTGATACCAGACAGCAAAGAGGACTCCGAGGCACCAGAGCCAACGTGGAGAGGTTTGTCATCTATATGCCACCTTCCTGGTCCCTTCAGCTGGACTCAAAGTAGGGTGCTCTCCGTCCTTCACCAAATCATACCTAAGAGCATCCCATCCCTGTGAGCAAACTGTAAGAACCTGCAGTGGCAGAACCCCAACATTCAAGGTGAGGGGATCGATGGCAATGTGTCTTTTAGTGTAATGATTTTTAAAAATTTAAACATTTGCCATAATTTTCCATCGCACCTGTATCATTAGATGGCAATGTGAAATGACACTAATTCACTCTCGTTGTTAAGGAAATAAGACCCTGGAAGGTACATAGGCCGAGTCAGGGGCCTTTCCCAGCTCAGCCCCCACGGAGTCTGCAGGAGTCCTTCAGCCCATCCCCCACGCGTGTTGTGCACCCCACGAGCACACACTGGCCCTAACGTGAGTCTCTCGGGCATAGGTGACGTAGTCCAGCAAGCACTGTTCAGCAAGAGACACGCTTCAGGGACAACCTTTTCTTACATCTTCTGAGTTTTGCATCTTATTTTGGAAGTGCTTCTCCACGCAGGGAGTATTCCACTTGATTTGGAAATGAGGACCTAAATCTTCATCCATGGAGGCACTAACGGAGCACTCACCTGTTGTCCTGGAGGTGGGCTCGGCAGAGGGGCTGTCCCGTCCCGTCCAGGGGGCTGACCCATCTGTCACCCTCTGACCTCAGTAGCGGCTCCCGGGCCCTCCCCCTCCCCCTCCCCCTCCCTCTCCCTCTCCCTCTCCCACCTGCTTCCTATGGAGCTGTCCACAGCTCGTTCTCATTCTTTTCTTTCCCTTCCCAGGAGAGAGCTGGGGTTCCAGGTTAAGTAGAAGGGGCCGTGGAGGGGCTGGGGAAGCAATAGGATGTTTGTCTTTTAGTGCATAATGGGGTCAGGGTCTGTGGTGGACTAACTAACGGTCAACTTGGAACTCCCAGCTGAACTGAGTCAGCGTGGCTCTGGGCATGGAAGACCCGCCCGAGGATCGTTGCCAAGGGCCCAAAAGAACTGGAGGGGAAGATCAGATGCTGTTGGGTTTTCCTGGGGAGGCTTTGCCGTGGCTGGTTTTCCTCATACAAACTCAGCTGTTCCTGTTGTCAGAGGAGCTCGGGTACTCGCTGTGGCCAGGAATGGCTGCTGTTCTCGTCAGGGGAGCTCTGGTCTTTGCCTTGAGCATCACTTCTTGGTTCCAGTGCAGATCTCTCAGCCTTGCAGCCCAAATCCTTCACCCCACTGGTGCAGGCTTTCTGGCTTCCACCACTGGCCCTTGGGCCTTCCCGGTGCAGATGCTGGATGTGGACTTGCATGAGACATCGCCGTGGGCTCTGGGCCTCTGGCTGGACTCGTGGGGACACTGCCTTGGGCTCTAGGCTTTCAGCCAGACTTGTGTGGGACATTGCTGTGGGGTCCAGACCCTGATCTCCTGCACTCCTCTGCATCTGACTTTTTGGGTGAATATTATAAAATAATCCTATAAAGTATGTGTCCTGTATCGAATCTATTCCCTTGCAAGCCCTGACTACAGCAGGGTCTGAGCAGTGTCTAAGTGTGGGGGTACAAGCACCTGGAATGAGAAATAACCTCCAGCTTTGTATTAATTCAGGTCAGCGGTAATGGGAAGAGCTGGTCTCAGGGCTTTGGGAAATCCATCACTGAATGACAGTCAAATTGGTCAATGATTTAGGTCTGTCTTCTCTTCCAGGACAAAAGAAAGAGAACAATCAAGTATCCCAAGGAGGCGTGGCTAAGGGTTTCAGAGAACTTCCTTTTGCAGGGCAGTTTTCGGCTCACGGCAGTGTGGGCAGAAGATCTGCACTTGGCACATGAACACTTGCGACGCTGACCTGTTTTCTGGATGAAGATTTGCCAAATTCTTTCCTTCCTTCTGCTTTCAATTGCCTGTCCCTTCCTCTGGTTGAATTTCTTTAATACTTTCTATAGCACCTTAAATTGCAAAAAAGATAAGATTTCATTTATTTTTCTTCTGTTCTCACAACAGGGTCACATCTCATGTGAGGGGCTGGGCTATCCAGGGAGAAAGTAAGAGTGAAATCGCGCTCAGTCAAAACTTGACTTAAAAACTGCTTACATGATTATAAACCTGGGAGAATCCCAAGGGTTGGATTTCTGTCTTTGTTTTCTGTTTTGTTTTCCTCTAGGGTTGAAACAGATACATGTTTCTTCAACTGAATATTAGATGAAATACTAGATGTGCTGTGGGGCCAAGTGAAGGAGGAAAAAGTGCCTTTAAATATTCAGCTTACGCTCTGTATGGTGAGGTCGGGAGCAGTCACATGATTTGTGGGACCGGTGGAAATGAAAATGCAGGCATCTCTCGTTCAAAGAGCACCAAGATGCACTTACTTCTGTTTCTGTATGTGTAGCACATATACAAAAGCATCAAGAATTTCAAGACAGCGGCAGGGAGCGTTGACCCAAGCGGGGCCAGGCGCACCTATGTGGGTGGGTAGCGGCCCCCGGAGCTGGCCTGGAGGAGGAACCGAGCCTAATGAGCAGCCTGGCAATCAGAGCTGCACCAGGAGAGAAGCCTGGGGACTGCTATGGGGAGAGACGGGGCAGAGGGGGCTGGCGGTGTCCCATCACTCCCTAGGGCGGCCAGCACTTTTGCCCTCAAGGAGCGGTATAGCTGAATTTGTGAGGCATTTAATCACCACACAACACAGTTCCATCAGAAAAGGTAAATGGTGGAGAGGTTGCACACTCTATAATCACGCTTTTGGGTTTTTTCTGAGTTTTCTTTTTTCCCCAAGAATTCATTGTAATTTTTTGCTTTGTTTGTTTGTTTGAAGACAGAGTCACACTATGTAGCTCAGGCTGGCCTTGAACTCACTGTGTAGCCCAGGCTGGCCTCAAACTCACGGTAATCCTCCTGCCTCAGCTTCCCAAGGGCTGGACTTACAGGTATGCACCACCACACCCTGCAGTATTTTATTTTGTAACTGTTTTACACAGCTTGTTTTCTTGTGGGACCTGCCTTATATTTCAGAGCCCTATGTTTTTTCCAAGTTCTTTTATTATGCACAAGCCAGGCTGAGAGCAGCCAGTCGGTCAGATAATTCACCATAGCAAGTTATTTAACATCGGTGATGGAAGATTGAGTTTCCAGGATCTTTTCTCAACTCACTTGGGTTCCTGGTGTTACCCCACCGTGTCCACAAGATTCTCGCCACAGACGGAAACCCGACTCACCTGCTTTCACAGAAATTGCTTCCTTGTGGCTTTGAGTTACATATTTGAGCATGACAGGAAGTGTTCCGCCGAGGGTCAGGAAGCTGGATGGGACAAGCACCCTGACTCATGTTCACCTGTTCCAAGTTGTGTCACAGCACAAAACAACACTTCAGCTCCCACAGAACTCACAAAGAAGCAACGTCGCGATGTGTCACTGCAGTCGCCCAGAGTTTGGGGGATATTTGGGGTTGATCTTCTCATTGTGGGTGGTGGCAGTCGTGTGGGGTTGTTTTTTGGCAAGAATTGGAATTGGAGAATTCTGTTGTCTGTTTATTCCTCCAACACAAGCTAAGTGAGGACGTGTTTATAGGAAAGGACTTGTGTGGCAACAGCATTTTCTTTAATATCCATGTTGACCCGTTTCGGGTCGCCTATTTCAGGAGAAAAGTGACAAAAGAAGACATAGACACAAATTCCTACAAATCAGCAGCTACGTTGTCCAGAGTGGTTTGCCAAGGAGTTTCCACACACAGCAGCGGCTGAGTCTTCACTTTGCACACTGCTAAGTGTTCCTGGGCTGTCACCTTACCCTCACCACAACCCATCTCTCTGGAGAACGTCAGAGCCAGGGCTTGACCCCAAGATGAGGCCCTGTGGTCACCACTGAACAACTGGATTTCGGTCCCACTGCACAGCGTTGCCTGTCTGGTTTTTGTTTTGTTTCATTTCTGCCCTAGAACAGTAGTGGCCAATTTGCCTCCACAATCCAGACGTGATTTCAGCACTAATCAGAATTTTCGTTCTGTAGAATCTTCCTAGATTCCTGCAGCCAGCAGCTGACTGGCAGAAGACAGCGGCTTTCGCCTGCGGCCAAGGACAGCGGGTTTGGCACAGCCTGCAGCCGCTCCCAAGGAGGACTCAGCAGCAGGCCTGACCCCACAGGCCCTGGGGATTGGTTGTTTACATTGGCCAACGTCAAACCTTGTGCAGATCTGCGCTGCCAAAGCGCCCCAGGGAAGCAAGGCCTCTATCTTCTGCTCGCAGGCCAAGTCTTCCAGAGCCTGGGTGGGTGTGGCTGCCAGGAGCTAATCGGCCGTCCAGGTGCAAATCTGGACCCATGTTTTCCTAGAGTAGGAGACGCAAATGTGAGTGACGCGGTGGATTGCTAACAGGCCTGGGGAAGCCCACTGGCGAGCTGTAGGTCGCTTGTTCGTGTACGTGTGGACGTGGTGAAGGTGGGCACCCAGCTTTCACTGCCCTGCTGGATCAGGGATGGACAGGTTCTGAAAGTCTCACGCGTGGCCCGGAGCTCACAGCATCACCCACGCTGCTGGGTCCGGACCCGCAGCTCCCAGGCCACTTTGCCTCACCCAGCTGCCCCCCCCCCCCCCCCCGCCAAAGGCCGGGTCCCCAGGCCGGCCAGGTTCCCCCATTGCAGCCAGGCCCCGCCCCAGCTCCGATCGGCCCCGCCCCTGGCCAATCCTCGCCCGGCACTAGGAGCCCGGCAGCCCAGTTCCGTAAACACACACCGCCCCGCCCCCAGGCTTGGACCATACCACTCTCCGCGCGGAGGGGGGAACGACCCTCTCGCTTCGCAAACGCAGTCCAGGCCGAGCCATCCGCGGCCTGGCTTGTGTGACCCGAACACGCGGCAGCTGCCCCCGTACTGGGTGGGCTCTGTGAGGGAGCGACTGCCGGAGCCTGCGATGCCCCGATCTCCCTGGCCCGCGCTCCGTCCCCCCCCCCCGCGCCCATTTGCTGACAGCCACCTCCCTGGGGACCTCAAGCCCTTTAAATCCCGAGGGGGCGCGGGGCCTGGAGCTGTGGGCTGGGAGTTTCCACGCTGTGGGCTGCTCGGCGAGGGGGCACGGAGACAAGGGACGCCGCAGCTCGTCGCCGATCTCTTCCGCGCCCACCGGTGTGTATGCGGCCCCGGGGAGACGACGGCGAGCCCCGCGGGGCCGCGCTCTGGGGCATCAGAGATGCCCACTCAGGTTCCAGCCGGACCTCGTCCTGGGGCCGCGGGGTCGGAGCGTCCCCTTGTTCTCTTCGAGCCCCGTCCGCACGGAGGGCGCGCCGGGTGCCGCGCGGTGTCGGGGTGCACGCGGCCTCAGGGTGCAGGGGACCCCGCTTCCTCGGGCCCCTAGGTGAGGGCTGAGCTGACGGCTGAGTCGGGGAGGTCGCGCGTGTTCGGGGTCGAGGCCGTGTTCTCTGCACTCGGCTCGGCCCGGGCTGTCCCCTCCCCCAAGGGTTTGTTTTGACAGGAAACGTGGAGGCGAGGGGCGGGGCGGAGGCGAGCGGAGGGGACCAGAGCGGGGAGGGGCACCGAGTGCGCGGAGGGGCGAACTCCGGTGCAAGTCTCGGTTGAGCAGGTGGGTCGAACCCTTGAACTCTCCGGGATGATCGCTTTGTGCTCCCCTAGGCTGCCCCTCGGGTAGTGACCCTGATTTGAGGGCACGTGGATGCACATAGCTATGTGTCCTGTCAGCAAAGGAAACATTGTTGCATTGAGTAATTGCACAATGATACAAAGTTTCCTTTTGAAATAAGTGTGTGTAAACCCCACAGCCTGGTCCAGATAGAGAAGTGTTTGCTGATTTACAGTAGAGATGGAGATGGGCCCTGAGTGCTGTCGTGGCGTGGTATTCATAGCGCTGAAGTTCGGGAATATTGTCCAGTGTGTGTCCTGCTACTTTGCCCACGAAGAAACTGGACGAGCTAGCCTTGTCCCCAGGGGCCCTCAGCACCCTGTTCTCCCTCCAGAGACCTGGCTCTTCCCCCTTTCTCTGGCCTGACCCACATCACCCTGGCAGCCTGGCTGGAAGCGGCCCAGGGCTGAAGATGCCAGGTCACGCCTGAAAGCAGCTTCCATGCCGCTTCTTGAGGGGCTGAGGGCCTGGGTCCTAACGCAGGTCAGCAGGAAAAGGAAGACAGTGACTTCAAGTGTGAAAAGAGTCTAGATGGCCTTCTCCCCGGTGCTGTAATGCCATGTGTAGCATGCACGCCTGCGCTTTGGACAGTGACTGGCTGCTTGGCTTTTATCCAGCTTTGTTGGCCCTCATTTGATGAAGACTGGTATTGCTGGCGGAGCAGTGCAGAACCTCCCTGCTCTGCAGGTTTAGCTTCGCCGTGGAGGAGTCACTTTTTGGTGCTGCTGTCTGGCTCCAGAGCAGAGATGGAAATTCCCCACCATCTGCGATCTTCTCAGCAGACCCGACGGGCTCTCCTCAGACTCCTGGCCTGCCCTTGACCACACATGTCAGTGTTTCTTCGTGCACCTGACTTCATGGCACCCTCTAGATCGGCGATGGCAAACCTTTTAGACCCTGAGTGCCCACACTGCAACCCAAAACCTACTTATTTATCACAAAGTGCCAACACTGCAATTAAACCTGAATGCTGAGGTTTTCTTTTAGATAAAATAATCATTATCAAGTGCTCGGATGCTGGGGTGACTTGGCTATCCTGCCACAGAGAGGACTTCGCATGCCCGCTGTGGCATGAGTGCCATAGGTTCGCTGCTACTGCTCTCTATGTTTCTTGAAATTGCTCCTTTCCAATACCTACTGTTGACTAGATGCCTTCCTTCATCTTTGGCCTACTGGATAATCTGGATAATTTACTCCAGAATGTGCATGACTCATGCTTAGCTGTAGGCAATTCACTCTGGATAATATTCGGGTTTTAGCTAAGGATTTTCAGTGCATAAAGAATGGCTGCCGGAGAGGATTTTCATTCGCTCTAGGGGATGATTGAGAATTATTTTAGCTCATGGACTCTCAGCAATGCCCTTCACGCTGCAGCACTTAGCAGCCACCCCAGAGGAAGGTCAGCTGGCTATCACTGTGCAAGTGTCCCCATGGTGATGGATGGGTCAGTTTGGCAGGGCAGGAGTGGAAAGAATGAGCAGCACACACATTCTCTCCAGCCATCCTTGAGTGGCAGAGAGCATGAGTTTAGGGTTCCACTGCCTGCGTTAGGGTCCTGCTCTGCATTGCTGTGGGCCATCGGAGAAGTATGCAGTCTCTCTGAGCCTCAGGTCCTTATGAAACAGGGATACTATCTTAGCTATCCAGGTTGTCCTGAGGACTCGAGGTCATAAGGTATCTACAGGACTCACCCTGAGATGGTTATGGGTGCTGCTTCATGGGGCCCTAGTAAGCACACCAAGGCTGCTCCCTCTGATTGTTAGGGTCTGGTAACCAAGGAATTAGCAGGGCGGAGAGACTTGATGCAAACTTTCCTTTAAACTCCTGGAACTGGAGTCCTTGCTGGTTTGGATGATTGGTGCCTTGGAATTACATTGTGGTAGGCGCTGGATTGAAGACGAGACAGAGCTACTCACATGAGCAGCCTAAAATGTAGTGGGGAGAGAGACATACAGACAGCAACAGCCCGGTACCTTAAGTGACTGCAGAGCCGTTATATGAGCAAAGGGGCTGCAGCAGAAGAAGGATAAAAGGCAAGTTGTTTGCTGCATAGGAGCGAGGCTCAGTGCATTCACGAAGCACTGTCCCAGGCCAGGCTCTGGGCTCCAGATGGTTGGTGTGCATGTCGAGTCTCAGGGAAGGTCAGCTTCAAGTTGTGACATTAAATTTCAGATCTGAACCACAAGGAGCCAACCAGAGTGCTATTCCAGGGGCAGGCACACGATGGGGGAAGGCTCCCAAGCAGGACACTTGGCGGGTCTGTGGGGCCGCGGAGGGCTGCTGTGTCCAGAGCCCAAAGGGTTGGGGGACAGCGGAACAGGATGGGTAGTTGGAGGCCAGATCACCCAGGGATTGAAACCCCAGCAAGAGACTTCTTAGGAAGGAGGAGGCCAGCTGGGAGGGGACCCTAAAGAAATGATTTGCTTTGGCTGTCCTGATGGGTTCCTGACCAAGTCTGGCTTTATTCTCTGGGGACTGGCCTTGAAGAAGGAGACTGGGCCAAGTTTGACAGAAGAGCCTTTGTAGTAAAGTGGTATTAGCTGACACAGTGCTGGGGACCATCAGAATCTAAACACTGCAGGAAAGCCAGATGTGCTGTGACCTGCCGATAATCCCAGCCACTCAGGAGGCTGAGGCGGGAGGACTGCAACTTAGGCCAGTGGGGTAACTTAGCAACGTCCGGTCTCGAGATAGAAAAATAAATAAAATCATCTGAGAATGTAGCTCAGTGCAAACGCCCAGTACCCCTTCCCAACCTACAGAACTCAAATCTGTTCTGAGTTAGAATCTTGACGTTTTAGCCCAGCACTGCCTCTCATTTAACCTTTTATTTGGATATATGTTTGCACTTACAGAAAAAGGCAGGAGGAATAATACTAAGGACACTATTGTCTACTTGTGACTTGGATTCCCCCACTAATATTTTTCTCCATCTGCTTATTGTTTTTCTTCTCTTTCATTCGAAACAGAGCTGCACACATGCAGGCCTTTTATTCCTAACTACAGTACATTTGTCAATGCAGCGTCTCCAGTGTCAGAGCAGACAGTAGATTCAAGCATGGTAACAGCACTGGCATGGACGGTGACACCCTAGATAGCACTGATTTTGCCCAGCACAGGGTCCTGTGTAGAAGCCCCTATGGCACCAGTTACTGTCTTAGTTCATTTGGGTTGCCCTGACAGAGTACCACGTTCTGGGCCGTGTACGAGGAACAGTTTATTTAGCTCATGGCTCTGGAGCCTGAGACATCTGAGACGGGGCCACTTTCTGGCAAGGGCTTCTTGCCGCGTCCCAATAGGACAGGAGGAGAGCATGGGAGAGGGACAGCAGGTCTGTGCCTGCTCCTCCCCAGGCCTGGGAGTGGCCCCTTGTGACCTAGGCCCCACCCCTTTGGCTCCACCCCCCTAGCTGGTGAGTTGATTCAGTTCCTAACCCAGGCTGTTGGAGGAACACTTTCAAACCGTAGCAGTGCGCTTGGCCAACCCCAGATGTGTGTCCTTCTCCCTTGCAAAACACATTCATTCCATCCCGGAGCTCCAGAGCCTTCACTCATTCCATCACCAACTCCGGAGTCCCCAGTTCCAGCTAAATCAGGTCTGGGCAAGACTGGACAGGATTTATCCTGGGATCAGTCTCCTCCAGCTGTGAAATCCAAACAGGGTCCCTACTTCCAGAGTGCAGAAGTCGACTGGCTCGGCCCAGACACTGAGATTCCCAGGGGAGAACTAAGTAAGCCCAGAGAGCTCGCTGATACCAAGTGAGTCCCGAACCCCACCGGGAAAGCACCATCAAGTCTGACAGTTTCCAGGGATCTCCCGTGACCCCCTGTCCCCCTCTGGCCCCACAGGCTGTGTTCTGGTCCTGTGGCCCAGGGCGGCCTCATCCTTATGGCCCTGCCGGGCCCTGTGCCTGGAGGCCCTGTTGGTCGCTTTCCAGTCCTCGGGTCTCTGGCCCCGACCTTCCCGCTCTGCTGGGCTTCGCCCCGGGAGGTCACTGCAGATCCTGACCCCTCTGCGTCCCTCCAGTCCACGTGGACTCCAGGTACTTCAAGGTCTGGGTTGCCATGCTCCGTCTTCTGTGCGGCTGCAGAATTAGCGTCACAGGCAGGTGGCCAGGGCTCCCAGCTTGTATCTCACAGAGAGCCGGACCTCAAGCCACCCCTGGATCCACTTGAACCCCAGCTGGGACCTTGAGGGGTGCTGGCCAGAATTGGGGAGCAGACGCCAGGTGGCAGGCACTGACTTGCTGTGGACACCTTGCCTCAGGGGCCTGTGATGGAGGGGCAGCCTCTGCCATGGCTTTGGGGCCTCTGCCACTGTCCTGCCGAGTGGCTCCGGGCTCCCTTCTCAGCTGGTCACCTCTTTAGTGAGCTGCCCTTGGTCAGACCCTCCGTCTGCTCTTCTGAGGTATAAATCGCTCAGATATTTCCACTTGACTTCCCTTTGATTATAAATCATCTTTAAATCATTTCTCTGCTCCCACATCTTACTGTATGTGGTTAAAAGTAGTCACACCACTCCTCAATATTTTGCTTAGAAACGTCTTCCCCCAGATATCCCAGTTCATGGCTTTTATTTATTATTTATTTGGTACTGGGAATTGAACTCAGCACCTTGCACTTGCCAGGCAGGCACAGTGCTGCTGAGCTGCATCCCTGGTCTTAGTCCATGGCTTTTAAACTGCCTTCTTTTCTTGCCTGGCCATGTACAGAGTTCAGTCCAGTTCTTCGATACTGTGGGACAGGACGGCCTTTACTGCATTTCTAACGTCTTGGTCCTCGTTTTTGTCCGAGATTCCATCAGAATTGTCTCAGCATAACATTTCCACCAACGCTTCCATCACAGCCACCTGAGTAATCCCTACGACTCAGAACCCTCAGAATTGCTCTTCATGCTCCGTTCACTGCAGCCTGGGCTTTTTCCAGCCCGGTCCCCCCTCCTCTGCCCATTACCAGTGCCAAAGCCACGTTCCCGCATGGGGTGTTCATCACAGCGACAACCTGACCTCAGGGAGGGTTTCCGTCTCAGTCCATGTGTGCTGCTATAATGGAGTGCACCAAACCAAACTTAGAGTCCCTGGGAATCGCTCTGCATATCCCCAGTGCACGTGTCGGCTCTCGGGCACTGGCTTCGGAAGGGATGATGTAATACTGTGTGTGTTGCTATAAAATGGTGGAACGACACAGTGAAAAAGCACAGATGACAGGCTCCATTTCCTTTGAAGGTGGCCCATTGCAGTGCAAAGGCCTCGCTGGGAGTCACCTGCTGTCTTTAGCTTTGACTTTGCTTTTGACAGTGAGTGAGTCTTCCAGGTAGGCTGAGGCGGGATGGTCCAGGACAGCTGTGTGGATTTTCTGTGAGCTGGGTAGATCTGCCTGTGTGTTTGAGAAGCCTTACGTTTCTTTAAAAAACCAGCCTGGCTTTATTATCACCAGTCTAAGAGAGAATCCAAAATGCAGCAGTCTGACTCCCTGGATGCCTGTGGGGTCAGGTTTGCCCCCAGATGACATTTGTGGGAACCCAAGTCCAAGCTGGGGAGAGCGGGTTTCCTCTCTGGCGGGCGCTCGCTTCTGGGTTTTGTATCTCAGACAAGGGGGCGAGCTCCGTCGTGGGTTAAGTCCCAGTCCCGTTTATCTGTGGGGAAGATGCTTTAATTATCCTGGGGGGAAACTGATCTTCCCTCCGGTGTTCGTGTTAATTCAAGCAAATGTCCACGCCCTGTTGTCTGAGTCCAGCGCTGTCCCACACACTCGCTCGGCTGAGCGAAGCTGCACGCCAGCCCTGAGTCAGGCACTGCTGGCTCGGACGTTTCTAATACAGGGTTTCGAGGACCTGCGTCTGCTCCGGCACACGCAGGCCCGCTATAATGTGGGGGCTCCTGCCATCCGAGCAGGACCCTGGGCCCTAGGAAGCTTTGTGCCTCCTGCCGCGCCCCCGGCCGGACCTGGCCTCCGTTGGCAGGAAGCAGGACTCCTGGGCTCCTGGTGATGCGCTAGAGCTCGGCTCGGAGCAGGTCTGCGGTCCTGTCTACCTGGCCCGGCGCTGGGGGAGGCAACTGGGGTGGGTGACTGTGACCGTTAACCCAGTTCACAAGGGCCTGAGGGTGAAAGCTTCCATTCACTTCTACTTGGATAAACAGCCAAAGACCCTGCTCATTGAGGCACCTGTAGTGGAAAAAATGCAGAGTACATCAGCACAATTGCTACATTGCAGGGGAAGGACTAGAAGAAAATAGTGACGTGGAAATAAACTTTACCACATTTACGCTATGGCCATAATTCCTAAGTCGCATGCACTGGTGTGGTCCATGAATGCCCATCGGGTGGTGTGGACAGTCGCTTTGGGTCAAGCCACCCGATGGACACTCATGCATGGGCCACTCATGGTTCCAGCCAAAGGAAAGAGTTAAGATGCTCAAGTGAGCCGGGCACGGTGGTACACACCTGTGATCCCAGCGCTTGGAAAGCTGAAGTGGGAGAATTGCCATGAGTTTGAGGCCATCTTGGGCTGGGTAGCAAGATCCTGTCAAAACAACAACAAAAACCCAATCCCCCCCCCATCCTCAAATGAGCGACAAGGACTTAGGTCCTTAGTTTTAAATCTAAATACTCCGGCATAGGGAGTGGATTCTGGGCCCCGAGCTGGGACTTTGGCGGGACCAGGTTTGTGAGTGTGTGGCGGTGCCAGGTTGCACGTGTCCTGGTGTCCTGAGGGTGGCGGTGTCCAGCACTCTGGTCAGGCTGACACCGAATGCGTGCTTATTGCACACCCAGGCCGCCCAGCGGGCAGGACGCTGCGTCTGCTTTAGTAGAGACCGGAAGCAGCCATTGTCTTGAGGAGGCGCTGGAGGTATGCGGATGGGCCAAGAGCGGCAGGAGGGCAGAGGGAGGCCTCTGGGAGCAGGAAACATTGTCGAGAACTGCCTGGCTGGTGTAGTGGTGGAAACCTATAATCCCAGCATTGGGAGGCAGAGGCAGGAGGATCACTTCGCGTGCAAGGCCAACTTGAACTACATAGCAAGACCCTGTCTCAGAAACAAAACAAAAGAATTGCCTCAACAGGAAGGACAGTGTTGGCAAAGAGAGATCTGGCAGGCTGAGGGGAAGGTTTGGGGTTGGTGGCAGTACCGTGTCTGGTGCCCTGTCCTCCCTCAGCAGTCTAGGGGAGCAGTACTAGGGGCAGAGGGTCATGTCACCCAGAGGGGGCTCGGCCGTCTTATCGCCTGTGTGCGGTGGCCGGTGTTGGGGCTGAGGATGGCCTGAGGGTCTGCCACGGGTTAGCCGTGCTCCACTTGCCAGCCGGGGTCCTGGCCAAGGGTGTTTCCGGAGCAGTCCAGGAGCCTGCAGGTGCTGCTGAAGCGCAGGGCAGAAGGCGCTGCTCCTCTCCGCAGAGCCCAGACCCCGCCCTCCTTCCCTGAGCTTCCCTGTCCTGCTCCTGTCCCCTTTCCCCACCCGGGCGCAGTGTCGGCGGCTACCTGTCCCTCCTCACCGCTGCCCCCAGCCTGTGCACAGCGGCCGCGCTGCAAAGCCCCGAGGAGGCTGCTGGCGTCTCCAGGACTGCGGTGCAGCAGCAGCTTCACAGGCTTGGCCTCGCGGGCGCCCTGTCCCCATGGCGTGGGCTCATTCAGGGTTAGAGGGATGAAGTGAACTCCGGTGCTCGATGTCCATGAGGACTTGCGATGCTGTTTCCCGGGGCCTCGGTTTCCCATTCCACCCACGGCACGGACAGTCTCCTCGTGGGCCTGCATGGCATCCTGGGCTTGGCCTGGCTCTCTGCACTCGTGATCTTTCTGGGTTGTGTCGCAGCCCGACTCCTTCCCCGGGAGGCTGTCCGATGTCCAGGGCGCGGAGCTTGACAGCTGTGGCCCAGTCGGTGCCCATGTCCCAGTCTGGCCCTCGCCTGGGAGTCAGGGCCACGTGTGTCCAAGGGTCAGGCCATGGCCAGTCCTCTCTGAGCTGCAGGCACAGCCAAGCGTCAGGCGCCTCCACAGGGATGGAGCGGCTGACCTCTCAGTCAGAGATTTGCCTGTGGGAGGCTCTGGAGGACAGAAAGAGGCAGATTTCGAACTTTGTCTCTAGAACAAGGCAGTGGGAGCCCTGTGACAACTGCCGCTCCTGTGCTGCACCAAGCCTTTCAGTGGGGTTAGGGCCGCCTGGCCAGGCTTTCTGCCCAGCTGCAGGGCTAGGCAAGGTGACAGTGCGCTCCCAGGCAGAGAGCAGGCCGGTCTGTCCCCAGGGCCCTCTGTCACCCTGCCAGGCTTGAGCAGCCTGCGTCCAGCCTGCTTTTCCCAAGGATCTGTCGCTGCTGCGGGCTGCCCTGAGTTCATGCCCGCTGGGACCCTGTGCGCTCACCGGGTGGCCGTGGGACTCTCCCGATGGCCCCCTGCCGGCCCGTGCAGGGTGCTGGAGGGAGGGCCAGGACCCCCCCCCACCCGGGGCCTTCCCGACACCACCCGCCTTGCGGGTGTGGGCGCGCTGTGGAGGGCTGCGGGCCGACGCGTCCACTTGTCCGCGCAGGGTCCCTCCGTCCGCGCCCTCGCACCGCACCATGCCGCTGCACAGCAGGAAGCAGCTCGAAGCCGAGGACCAGCCCGGTGACCTGGACTCGCCGCGCTGCTCGGAAAGCCTGGCCGTGCTCAGCGACTGCGAGTGCTCCCGGCAGAGCTTCGCCAGCGACTCCTCCAGCAAGTCCAGCTCTCCGGCCTGTGAGCGGGGCCTGGGCTGGGGCGGGTGCTGGAGCGGAGCAGCCGGGCCCCCCAAAGCCGGGCGGCACCAGAGGCGCTGGGCCGTCTCCTGTGTGCTCTGAGGAGCAGGCAGCTGCGCACGCTGACGCCGCCGCCTGGGCCCGGCCCGGCCTGGTGTCCCGGCCGCCTCGCTCTGACCGTGAGGGAGACTGCCTGCCCGTCCCCCTGTTCTCCCACTGGCGGGAAGCCGGGCCTTCTTGGCAAATTGGGACAAAATCACATGGGTTTTCTGTGACTTTTTTTCTTTCTGGTAGACGTTGAAGGAAACTTGCCATTCTGGAAGGGTTGGGCAGGAAGTGAAATAATCGGAAGGGGTTCTTGCTAACACCCAGGAGTGGCCTAAAGAGGGTTACTACACCAGGGCTGTGAGAAAGTGGAAGAGGATGCAGCAAGGAGGAACACTTCTCTCTCCCTCTCTCTCTCTCCCTTCCTCCCTCTCTGTCTCTTTCTTTTTCGTAGCACTGAGAATTGAAGCCTGGACCTTTGCATTGAGCTACATTCTCAGCCATTTAAAAAATATTTTTCGGGTCAAGGATTTAGCTCAGTGGTTCTTCTGCCTGCCTCACAAGCAGAAGGACCCGAGTTCAAATCCCAGTACCAAAATTTTTTTTCCCATTTATTTATTTATTTATTTATGTTTTGTTTTGTTCTTTTGAGACAGAGTTTTGCTATGTAGTTCAGGCTGGCTTTGAACTCACGGCAATCCTCCTGCCTCAGCCTTCTACAGTGCTGGGATTCTGGGGGTGTACCATCATCCCAGCTGCTTTTCCCTTTTTGGTGTGTGAGCACTAGAGATGTGTCAAGCAAGCATGCTTACCTTTTTGAAAGAGTTTTTAACTTGCATTTTGTCTAGGAAGTATAATCCTTTAAACTGATGAAGGGCCAGCAGGAAATACAGCTAATATCTAATGGGATCTAGAGTCCAGTTCAAGCGATTTGTTCCTTTGTATGTATTTAAAATTTTTGTGTTCTCATTTCTAAATGGTGGAAAATGCTTAAGTGTAGAGAAAAGAAAATATTGCCAAAGATGAGCGCTGCCTGAGCGCTGCTGTATCTTTACGTGTCAGAGAGGCGTGTGCGTGTGTGTGTGCGTGCGTGCGTGTGTGTGTGTGTGTGTATACATACGTGGACTCCTCTCACATGGCGTTATAACAGCGCATTTGCTCATGGGGCACATTTTCTAGACGTTGTTATGACTACCCTGCCTCATCCGTCAGGGAGCTTGCCCGTGACTTTACTTACCACCGATCACCACCGGCCCTGCGTTTGGCTTCCGTTCTGTGAACGGTGCTTTGTGCACATCTTGGTATCTGGAGCCTCTGGGTGATTCCTTTGCACATCTCTGGGCCCTGGCACCGCAGAGGGGTGTTCAGGGAGGATCTTGAGGTAGAGTTGGCGAACAGTGGGCGGCTGCCCCGGTTCCAGGCCTTCTTTTGCTCTCCACACTGTTTATGAGGCTCACGTCTGGCAGCAGGGAACCCAGGTATCCTGAGGCGAATATCCAGGCATTTGCTTTCTGTCTGGATCAACTTTCTTTCTCCTCCTCCTCTCCCTTGGTCCTTCTTGCTCCCTTCCACATCCTTCTTTTTAAAAGAATTCAAGCTGGATGTGGTGGTGTACACCTGTAACCGGGAGGCTGAGGCAGGAGGATCACTGTGAGTTCAAGGCCAGCCTGGGTTACATAGTGAGTTCAAGGGCAGCCTCAGCTATGTAGTGAGACTGTGTCAAAACAACAACAGCAACAACAAAAAAGAATCCCGATAGCAAGGTATTGCCCACTCTTGCTGCTGTTTGAGGTCATGATTTTTAATTAACAGAAGCTAAGATTTCCAACTGTGGGTTTATTAAAATGATTTGTTAGCCTAATTAGTATTGTCTCTAAAAATAACTCATTCTTTACCACCTTCCTACATTATACTGTACATTTAGAAATCATTTTTTTAAAATCAGTTATTTCATATTGAGTGTACTTAATGAGAATTCTGAATTACAGAATAAAAAACAGTCTTAGTCATTTTCCCAAATAAATGCACGCAAGGATCAAGACACTTAACAATAAGGTGATTAAACTTGTGAAGCTAAGTCCTGGGCCTGTGAATGAGGTTGTCTGGTCAGTATTTGGGAATTTGTTATCAAGCGTGGTAGCCGAGGCTGAGGAAGGGGTGCTTACGTTTCTGGGCCCGTGTCCGTGAGTGAGCACCTGCTGATGTGCATCCCCGTTAACCTTGCGGTCCTGGGCCCGAGCGAGCCATGTCAGGAAGCAGTGGGGCCGCCTTCTCTGCAGCACAGGCTGATTTTGGTTTCTCCCAGCAGCCAGCCCGCCCCGGGGGGTGACCTTTGATGACGTCATGGCCGCAACCAGGAACCTGTCCAACCTGACCCTGGCCCACGAGATCGCCGTCAATGAGAACTTCCAGTTGAAAGAAGAGGCCCTCCCAGAAAACAGGTGACCTTCAGGCGTTGGGGATGAGCAAATGGCACCAGAGATTGTGTGTGTGTGTGTGGCGCTTGTGTATTCAGTGGTTCACACTGATTCCTGCAGGTTTTTATATAATATCCACAGGTGAAGCCAGGCGTGGTTGCACAAGCCTTTAATCCCAGCACTCTGGGAGGCTGAGGCAGGAGGATCGCCTTGAGTTGGAGGCCAGCCTAGACTGCATAGGGGGAGACCCTATCTAAAAAAAAAAAAAGTAAAAGAACTTCTCCTCCCCAAAATGTCTTCCTGGGGATGTTGTCACAGCAATTGTGTATGTTTCGAGCTTGCTGCCTGAAGCAGTTGTATCTGATAGTTTTGCTGACTGCACTGGTGCTCCCCTATACCAGCTCCGCTGCTGTTCCCTCACTCAGGCCACCCTCATCTCTGCCCTGGACCCTGGGGTCCTGGCTGCCTCTGTCTCCCTTCTCAGCCCCCATCCACATGGTAGCCGAAATGACCTTTCCAAAGGATGGGTCAGATCCAACCCTTCCTGGTGTACAGCCTTTCTGGGGTTTTCTGGGCCACATGGAATCCAAACCAATCTTGGCCCTGCCCCCCAGCGTGGCCTGCAGGTCCCCCCAGCCCTCTCTGGGCTGCTCTGAGCTTGGGGCTGCCTTGGGAATGTTGTCCCTTGCACTCCTGTCCCTTCTCACGCTCCCTGGATCTTCCTGGGGCCGCCCGCATCCCCGTCCCAGGCTTGGGCCCAAGACCCAAGACTTAGAGGAAGTGTCCCAGCGGGCCCCTGTGGAGCTGTGTGCGAACTCGGCCCTGGGGCCTCTCTGACCCGGGCTCTGAGCGGGCTGTGGCCCCGCTGGTGGGGTCGGCGCCTGCCTGGAGCACGCTCAGCCCCTCTCCCACCTCTGACTCATTTTCAATGTGTTTCTGTCTCTGCTCCTGCTAGCACAGTGTTTCAAGGGCAGAAACCTTCTTTTTACTGCAGTATCCCTGGTGCCTAAACCAGGAACTAGCACACATTGGAGGTTCAGTTGGCACTGATTAACTAATAAAAATGAAATTTTAAAGTTAACATTAGCACTTTTTTTTTTTGTAGCAGTAGAAAGACTGCTTCTTTTTTTTCCCCCCCATTAAGTTTATTGGTCCATTTTAGATGTAAAATACAGTTACATTCACCGTTGTGATCTTGTACCTTTACATAATGTATCTTGGTTCTTATTTTTTCCCCATTCCCTGCCCTCCCTTCACCCCTCCGCCCTTCCCTATTTGCAAAGACTTTGTTTCCATTTTTTTCCTCTTCTCATAATTTTTCCTTTCTCTTCTTTCCTTTCCCCTCCCCCTCCCCCTTCCCCTACTCCTTTAGACCTTTACTTCCTATTACACAATATCAATTATACATTTCTAAAATTACAATATCAAGATCTAGGAGACATTACCACAGATTTTACAGAATTTAAAAGGATATAGAAAGCATATT